GCGAGGGGAGGAGGAGGAGGGACGTGGAGTCCAGATTTTATGTTGATCCCTCCGCTTTCCTCTCCTCCTGGGGGCCGAGGTCCGCTTTCGCCGTCGAAGCCAGGGAGGCGGGGTGCGCCTGCCTGCCGTATCGCGGCGGGGAGGCGGAGAGACGCTGTATTTAGCGGGAAACGTCAGAAACGTCAGGGACATGGAGAGGTGGAGGAGGAGGGATGGGGAGAGAGGGAGGATGGGGGGGGGGGATTGGAAAAAGAGGAGGGGGAGGCGGCGGGATGATGCCGAGAATGCTGAGGATGATGATGATGATGCGGATGCTGATAATGATGATGGCGGTGATGCTGATGATGATGATGATGATGAGGATGATGCTGATGATGATGATGATGATGATGATGATGATGATGTGGATGATAATGAGGATCGATATGATGATCAAGATGTTGATGATGACGATGATGATGATGCTGATGATGCTGATGATGAGTATGCTGATGATGATCATGCTGATGATGATAATGATGATGTTGACGATAATGATGACGATACAGTGGTGATGGTGATGGTCGTGATGGTGATGATGATGGTGATGGTGATTGCGATGATGATAAGGGTGGTGGTGATGATGATAGTGTTGATGGTGATGATGATGACGATTCTTATGATGGTAATGATAATGGAGATGATGACGATGATGTTGAACATGATTCGGATGGTGATGCTGATGACGTCGTTGTTGTTAGTTTCGTTGTTGATGTTGATGTTGAGGTTGATGTTGTTGTTGTTCTTCTTGTGGTTGTTGTTGTTGTTGTTGTTGTTGTTGTTGTTGTTGTTGTTGTTGTTATGGTTGTTGTAGTAGTTGGTGAAACGGTCGGTTGTTGTTGTCGTTGTTGTGGTTGTCGTTGTGGATGATGTCGGTAATGTGGTTGTTGTGGTTGTTGTCGTTGTTGTGTGCGTTGCTGTTATGGCTGTTGATATGTTTGTTGCTGTGGTATTTGTGGTTGTGGTCGTCGTTGTTGTTGTTGGTGGTGCTGTTGCTGTTGCGGTTGCTGTCGCTGTTGCTGTTGCTGTTGTTGTGGTGGTGGTGGTGTTTGTGGTGAAGTTGGTGGTGGTGGTTGTTGTTGTTGTTGCTGCTGTTGCTGCTGTTGTCGTCTTCGTCGTCGACTTCGTCGTCATCGTCGTTGTTGTTCTTGTTGTTGTTGTTGTTGTTGTTGTTGTTGTTGTTGTTGTTGTTGTTGTTGTTGTTGTTGTTGTTGTTAAATTTTCATTGTCAAGAGATAATTGTTGATTTACCCTGCGCGGTAACCGTCGTATTTCAATTATAGTGCTTCTCTGGGGGCTCGCACTGGTCTTTGACAAGGGAACGCGAGGGGTCACCAAATTGCACCCTTGGCCCCCGATTTGCAACAACAGCGGCTCTCGCCTGATACTTCCTCACAATTCATTCAGGCATCCCGCTCTCGCGCGGGACGCCCTCACAACTTATCTAGGAATCGCGCTCTCGCATGGCTCTTCCTCGCCATTTGTTCAGACGCCGCGCCCTGGGACACTCAGGAAACACGCCTTTGCCGTGGATTTCCTCACGATTTATTTGGGAATCGCGTTATCGCTCGAGACTTCCTCGCGATTCATGCAGGACGCACGCTTCAGCAACCCGCCCGTTCGACCTGGCCGCCTGGGCCCGCCATCCCAGCCCACCCCCTAGGGTCTACCCGCCCGATCTGCCCGTCTGGTTCTGCCACCTGCTTTCTGCTCCTAGCCCCCCTTTTCGTACTCCATCCTCCTCCCTTCCCCTTGTCCCTTTCTTCCATCCGTCCTCTCTTCTCCTGCCTTTGGGGCTGCAGGAACTACTTTTTTGATCCGCGGGTCGAGAGCGCACCTCTGCCGGTCGAAGCTAAGCGGGCCGCGCACAGCTTTAATCAACAGAGGGGGGAAGGCAGAAGGAGGGGCCTCACGTCAAGGCCAAGAGAGATCAAAGCCCCGCTGCAGGAACTACATGCTGCAGATAAGAAAACTATACCCCAAAGGGGGGTACGATCGGAGACGACGAGGGCGGGTACCGACGCTTGGGATATACGTGTTGGATGGCACGCGAGCAGATACGAGGAAACAGTCTTGGCATTGCTTTGTTAGTTGTTGTTTGTTTTGTTGTTGTGGAGCTCGCATTTTCGGAGGAGCAATTATTGTTGACCCCCCTGCCCAGTCATCATTGCATATGTCAATTCAAAGTTCCTTCCGTGACTCGCGCCTGGTTTTTTACAAGGGAACGCGATGGGGTCACCAAATTGCACCCCTGGCCCCCGATTTGCAACAACAGCGGCTCTCGCCTGATACTTCCTCACAATTCATTCAGGCATCCCGCTCTCGCGCGGGACGCCCTCACAACTTATCTAGGAATCGCGCTCTCGCATGGCTCTTCCTCGCCATCTGTTCAGACGCCGCGCCCTGGACACTCAGGAAACACGCCTTTGCCGTGTATTTCCTCACGATTTATTTGGGAATCGCGTTATCGCTCGAGACTTCCTCGCGATTCATGCAGGACGCACGCTTCAGCAACCCGCCCGTTCGACCTGGCCGCCTGGGCCCGCCATCCCAGCCCGCCCCCTAGGGTCTACCCGCCCGATCTGCCCGTCTGGTTCTGCCACCTGCTTTCTGCTCCTAGCCCCCCTTTTCGTACTCCATCCTCCTCCCTTCCCCTTGTCCCTTTCTTCCATCCGTCCTCTCTTCTCCTGCCTTTGGGGCTGCAGGAACTACTTTTTTGATCCGCGGGTCGAGAGCGCACCTCTGCCGGTCGAAGCTAAGCGGGCCGCGCACAGCTTTAATCAACAGAGGGGGGAAGGCAGAAGGAGGGGCCTCACGTCAAGGCCAAGAGAGATCAAAGCCCCGCTGCAGGAACTACATGCTGCAGATAAGAAAACTATACCCCAAAGGGGGGTACTATCGGAGACGACGAGGGCGGGTACCGACGCTTGGGATATACGTGTTGGATGGCACGCGAGCAGATACGAGCAAACAGTCTTGGCATTGCTTTGTTAGTTGTTGTTTGTTTTGTTGTTGTGGAGCTCGCATTTTCGGAGGAGCAATTATTGTTGACCCCCCTGCCCAGTCATCATTGCATATGTCAATTCAAAGTTCCTTCCGTGACTCACGCCTGTTTTTTTACAAGGGAACGCGATGGGGCCACCAAATTGCACCCTTGGCCCCCGATTTGCAACAACAGCGGCTCTCGCCTGATACTTCCTCACAACTCAGTCAGGAGTCCCGCCCTCGCGCGGGACGTCCGCGCGAGCTTTTTCAAAGGACAGGTCCTCCTCCAAGGATAGGTCCAATTTTGGATATATCCTCGAGGATAGGATCGGATAGGTCTTCCTCTAAGGATAAGGACAGGATGTATCCTCCATTTTCAGAGGACAGGTCCTCCTCCAAGGATAGGTCCTCAACACATCGTCAAGGTTTTTTGGTCCTCCTCCGAGGATAGGCCCATTTGCAAAAGCAGCAGACTTCCGTCCAGACGCGTGGCGCTTTTCCCAAACGATCGAGCGCGGCGCGGAGGCAAAACACCCCGAGTTCTGAAAACATGAGCCGCCCCCCATCCGTACAGGTATGACAACCTTTAAGAACGGGCGTGCGCGGCCCCGGGGCGACGGCACCACTTTGAACACGACCACCCCTCTCTCCGTGATACGGCTGCAGATTTTCAGGAAGTGTGGCTCTCGGTCTCGCGTCGCGCACGTTCGTCCCAGCCGCTTCTCAGAGCTCTGCAAATGGAGGGCTGTTGTCCATCGGCCGCACATACTTTCAGATCTTCCGTATTTTTGGGGGGTACATGTCGAGTCGGGGCGGGGGCTACCTGTAGCGTGGGGGGTGATACCCGTAGTCCAGGGGGGGGTCGGCTGTAGTTTGGGGGAAGAGTACCTGTAGTCCGGGGGGGGACTTGTAGTCCCAGGGCGGGGTACCTGTAGTCCAGGAGGTCTACCTGTAGTCTGGGGGTGGGGTACCTGTAGTCTGGGAAGGGGTCCATACGCGCGGTAGAGATTCCTGGCGGTTCGTTGCGGGTTCGGACGGGGAGCGACTTCGGGGATGCCTGTAGTCCAGTGGGTCTCTCGTGCCTGGGGGGGATGCTTCTAGTCGGGGGGCGGGGGTACCAATAGTCAGCGGGGGAGGGTGCCAGTAGTCCAGGGGTTGGTGCCCGTTGTCTGGGGGGAGGGTGCTCGTAGCCCGCGGTCTGGGGCTTCCGCTCCGCGGAGGGTCTCGGAGTATTCACTTTGGAGTCTCCCAACAGGTGTGTGGGCGGACGGAGGGCGGTGCATTTTCAAGCCGCGGCTCTGGGTTGCATTTCCGCAACATTTGCGGCCATGACCCGGACTTCTGCAGCCGCTGCCCAGAACAAAGGGCGATTCCTTGTCCAGATCTGTTTGTTTGAGATGCCCTCGGCTACGGCACCGCCTGATCCCGAGGCTTTGCCTCCTCCCGGCCTCGTTCTGAGGCTGCGCCCCCCATTTCCCTCCCCCATCCCTGCTTAATGCAAGCTTCGCGCGGCCCGCTTAGCTTCGACCAGAAGAGGTGCGCTTTCGACCCGCGAATCACAAAACAATTGTTTGAGATGCCCTCGGACCTTTACGGCCAGGGGCCGAACTACGTCCAGCAGTTCCCTCGGATGCAGGGCAGTTCTTTTTCAAAAGAGGCCCTCGCCTGAATGGCAGTCCCTTGGGGCGCTCCGATTCCTTCGAGACGCTTCCAGAATGGGGCATATTGTTTGCGCGGGCCCATGGGGAGTTGTTCTTGGGGTGAAAGTGTGTATCGCGGCATAGTTGCTGCATCTTGGGTTTACACTCGTCCTTCTCCTCATCTTCCTCCCCGGGGGGAGCACTTGACGGGCCCTCGCTCTCTTGGCCCCCGTGATGCCCTCCCCGACTGCCACATCCATTCGGCGTGGGTTTCGCCCAGCAGTTCTGAGCTTGATTCGTGCCCTCGAGGATGGCCGAATCGAGTCTCCCAAGGCC